TTGACCAAAACAATAGATATTTATAGCGACGGCAATAAGTAGTGACAAAACAGACCGGCAGCATATTGACAAGATTTTTTTTTTTTTTTTGTCAAATATTGACAAGAAATTAAAGTAATCGAAAATGTGTATATAGTTTACCTCATCACAATATTTGTGTGGTTTCTGTAACCAAGAGAAATGCCATGGCCCAAAAACATCATATTAAAGGTGCCATTAACAACGGACTCTTCTATCTCAATTCTGCAAGTACAAAAATTTAGGCACCATCGCCACACGAAACTCGGATAAACAATGAATAAATAAAAAAGAAACAATTTTATAGTGTAGGGGTGTGATATCCACACACCCCATTTTACTTCTTACACAGCTCTTGTTGTGTGAAAAGTAAAATGTAAAATGAGGTGTGTGAATATCACGCCCCTATAGTGTATTACAGACCTAACATTGGACCCAGCTCGCTCCTTTATCATTTCCAACTGCCCTGTAATGTACCGAGCAGCTTCGGTCAAGCCAGGGCGTCCTTCCTATCAACAAATTAGGAAATTGCGAATAATTACCTCAACCCAAAACCAAAATTTGTCCCCAATCTCTCCAATAGCAGTTACAATGGCGAATTCAAATCAAACCTAGAAAAAATCCCAAATTGTTTTTCTTTTCAATTTGGACAAAAAATGGAGAAAAAACAGTGAGGACATTGAAAAATTAACTCACCTGGCGGCCGTCGATCTCATGGGCCAACACTCGAACGTGCTCGACGGCTCTGGCTTCGGAGAAGCGATCGAGAGGGGCGTCGATGTCGAGCGGCTTGATGAAGCGCATGTAGAGTACGGAGTGAACCAGCGCCGCCATGAGGCCGTACGTCGCTACCAGAATGAGCAGCAACTTGAAGCCGGGCGCGTCGCCGGAGCTAAATCCCAACGCCATTTTTTTTTCCGATCTCTATGCAGTTGGTGGGTGTGCGGATTTGTGAAGAGACGATTGGATGGTGGCTTTTGGTTCGGAGAGGTGAAGGAAGTCGGAGAGTGGGGAAGTGCGCACGCAAAGAACTACCTTCCCCAGACACGGGACGTTGGGAACTTGTGATCGTTGTGATTGTCTCGAAGCGGGGAACCCACGAGCATCAAATATAAAAGGGGTTTTTATTACAAATGCTCCTGACCGACACAATCAAGATATTCTTAAAATTGAAAATCGATAGTTTTTTTAAATTAAGTGTCGCAAAATCAAGGTATAAAATATCGTAGTCTAAAAATACAGAAATTTCGATAGAAATATCAGGATATTATCGATATCGATAAAAATTGAATAAAAAACACGTAATTATAAGAAAAACTTGGAAATTTTTATTGAAACTTTGCAGGATGTTTATTTAGTCAATTATCTATTAGTTTATCACAAAAAATTGAAAGGAAATGCATTGCATGATAGATATAACTTATTTAAGTTGATTATATAACGAGCTGGCAAACATTGTGAGTATAGAAAATATATAATAATCAATGAAAGATGTTTAAACACACCATAATCATTTATATATAATGAATTAGTACAATATTTTACACTTTATACATCGGTAGTCCAAAAACACGGAAATTTAGATAGAAATATCAGGATATTATGGATATTTTAGACCATGCGTAAATCAACGTAATTATTTCGTTATAATTCCGTTAAAAATTCTGTTATGCGATGGTATGACACGTAATTGAGTTTTATAATATAATAAAATATTATCATATGGATTAAAAATATTTAAATAATAATTAAAATTTATTTTACATAATTAAAAACAAAAAAAAAAAAAAAACAAGAAGAAGATGACTGTTGTTCCCTCCTACCCAGCGACCCACCATTTTCATAATTTAGCTCAATTCATACTAGCTTGAATACTAAACTGAACATATTCAAAATCCAAAAATTGATCAATCAAAGAAATCTCTTACTTATTTACATGTATAACACAAGCTGAGCATTGAGCAAGCATCATGTAGCAGTAAGTAGTGGCGGATCTACAGTGGGATCAATAGGGTCGCACGACCTCTTGGAAGCCATGGAAACAACCTTAGAGACCCATTGGAGCTGCTGGTGAGACCCCTTGGCTGCACACCAAGTGTTCGACGAAAGGTCTGAAAGAACCAAGGATGCTGTCAAGTTCAAGGTTCGGTGCTCCAGCCACTGAAAGGGAAGTTGGTGTGGTTTTTGGACAAGGCAGCTGCCTCAAAACTTGATGATGGTACTCAATTCTCTGCATAGGGTTGAATCCCTTCGTGTGTAAGTGTATGTATTGCATTTACCGGAAGGATTCGATGCCTGTGATTCGATTTCTTTTGCCATTAGTCACCTTTTGTTCAAGCTTTGGGTTAATTTCCCCTGTTTTGCCTTGCCTTCCTCTCTTGTTTAGTGGGGTTTGGAGAAGTGTGGTAATCCTTTTGTAAGAACAGGTCAATAAATTTGGGAACTTTAATTCAAAAGTCATAGCTTCTTCCTCTAGGTATGAAATGACGATATGCATGCTGTTTCTGTTAAAAAAAAATTACGCGCTGCGGGCGCTATCCTTATTGACCCCACAAACATTATTTTCTGGATCCGCCACGGGCAGTAAGTACCTTGGTTCCAGGAACGAGCTTCTGTGAGCCCAAGTTTCAAAAGCCACCGACTACTCGAATTCCTCGCAAAAGAAAGACCACATTTTTCTTTCCCTTCATCTATTTTCTCAGCAACCAAACAGAAAACGAGAAAAATTAACGAGAAATACAGAGAGGTGTGATTTACCTGGAGGACTTTGGAGCCGAGGAGGTGAGAGGACTTTCGGAGCGTATGCGGGTCGGGCAAGAACCTGGCTGAGATGGATTTGAGGTCCATGTTGGTGAGCTCGGCTTCCACTGAATTCACCACCGTACGCTTGTCGTCGGACAAGGCAGAGTGGATCAGGATCATCGCCTCCACTTGTTCGTGGTCGCGAAGCACCATCCTCTGGTTCTTAAGGTTTCGATTGCGGCGTCGGAAGCGGCGCCGGAACTCCCTCCAATTTTCAGCGCCTGTTTGCCGCGGCCTGCACCTCCAGGTCGAGCAATATCGAGGAAGTTTCATTTCAAATTACCGTCACCGGCAAACACGAGGACTGCGGGAAAGGGGTGCGACGGTGTCGTTTCAAGGGGAGGAGAATGGTGGGTCGCTGGGTAAGAAGGGAAGAAGATGATGAACAGTCATCTTCTTCTTCTTTTTCTCTTTTTTTTGTTTTTAATTATATAAAATAGTTTTTTAATTATTATTTAAATACTTTTAATCCACATGACAATATTTTATTATATTGTAGAATCCAATTACGTGTCACATCAGCATATAGTAGAATTTTTAACGGAAGATGTGACGAAAGAATTATATTGATTTGCGATATCCAATTTCACCATGCGATAAAAACCCAATATAAAAGTAATTGATGCCCGATGTGCCAATTATAAATTGGCTTTCTAGTCTAAAATGATAACTCTTCACTTCGATACAAGTGTTCATAATTCTTCATCATTAATTATTTTGATTATTTCGTAAAAAAAAAATTAAATAAGTATCAAAATAATAAAATTATTCTCAATTTAATAAATAATAGTCAAAATAATTTGACAAAATTTGAGAGTATTTTGTCATTTTATCTTATTTACTAAAGGTTTTTCACAAAAGAACAAAAATGATGAATGGTGGTCAAAATCAATACTACTTCTATTGATTTCAAATCTCAGAGATCAAAGTGAAGAGTTATGTCAAATTTCATGATCATTTTGCCTAAAAAGCCTCTATAATCTACCTTAAATTTTGTGTTTCTGTAACTCAATTGTTTTTTTTATAGTGTAGAGCTTTAAATGATTGTATTTATTAGAAAATTTGTTGAAACATTTTATTGTTTGAAATGCTAGTGGAAGAAGGGATCCGTTATTAAACTAATCAAAAATAAAATCAACGTTAATGTCAAATTTGACTCATAATCACAAAAACTTCATTGACAAAAAAATACAAAGGTTTCAAAATGAGTCAGCAAATAATACTTTGTTTGTCATGAATTTTTATGTTAAATATGCATAGTGGCGTCTCCACTTAGAATTTGACATTCTCTCTAGAGAGGTTTTGATAAGATTTTTGGGTAACTTTAACAAGAAATTGTAGAAAAATCAAGCTCCAACAAACCAGCTAAATCCCTAACTATCTTAACTTTGTGAACAATAACTAGCTAGATTTAACTAGGAGGAGAGAGAAAGTTAAAAACTATAAAATTGCTTTGTTTATAAACTTCAAGAGAAAAAAAAGGGCTTGGATTGTTATTTTTATGAAAAAATAATAGTAAGGTATTTTAACTTAACATAAAATAGCTAGTGTTGTTGGAATTGATGAACAACTAAATTAACATTTGAGTCATTTGGTTAGTTACAATAAAATAAAATAAAAATTAATGCAAATGGTTTGAAAACTTTGAGTTTTAACGATAAGGACAAAATAAAAGGTAAAATGAATAGTACTAAAATTGATTTTTAGTGTAAAAATATGGTTTTTTGTTAAAGTGAACAATACCGGGAGCTTTTCGTTAAAGTTCTATAAAATAAACTTGGCCAATATTGTTGGAGATGCTTTAATACAAAATTATAGAAATAGGATTGGGTTGTTTGGAAGTTTTAAAGATTTTTAAAAATTAAGGATTTGGAGGAATTTTATTGTAATTTTTTTGTTAAAACCACGTAATTATATTTGAACATCGGATTTTAAACGATTTTAAAAAGTCGAGGATTCGTAAGTAGTCAGTTGGCTTGATGGTTGGGTTTTTCTCTTCATAGTAATATCACTTATGACGCAAATTGTTAATTAGCAATATTCTAAAAACCTCTTGACGCTAGTAGAACGACATAAGAACCTAGCGCCAAATAAAAAGTAAAATAAAATAGAGTAAAATTGATCTTCAAATTTCAAAATCTTGCTTTTTTTTTTTTAAGGATTCAACCATTTGTATTGTGATCTTCGAAAGAAAAAAATCTCTCTACTAATTGAGCGTTGGCTATAAAATTCTTTTCTTTTCTCCTCCCAAATGAATGCTTGAAGCAAAGCAAATGGCCCAAAGGCGTGAAAAGTGCAATTTATTCCCATTGATATTGCCTCCCTAACCGAATCAAACGGACAGTTGGGTCCCAGTACTATTATACCGCCCGCGCGTTCAGCAGATGGCCAATCAGTAATGCCAAACGCCAGATCTCACAAAATGTATGGAAAAGCCGCCTTCGCCCTCATCTTCGCCTTCCTCCTGCTCCTCACCTACTCAATCTTCATCGGCACCGTCGACATCCGATCCTACTTCCTCCCGCTCCTCCCCTCATCGCCGCCGCCGGTTGTCCAGTCCCTCTGCGCCACCACCTCCCCGCCTCTCAAGGTCTACATGTACGATCTCCCGCGCCGCTTCAACGTCGGAATTATGAACCGCCGGAGCACCGACCAGACTCCTGTCACCGCCCGGACTTGGCCTCCGTGGCCAAAGAACTCCGGGCTCAAGAGGCAGCACAGTATTGAGTACTGGATGATGGGCTCGCTTTTGTTCGACAGTAATGGCGGTGACGGGAGAGAGGCGGTTAGGGTTTCTGATCCGGAATTGGCCGATGCGTTCTTTGTGCCGTTTTTCTCTTCGTTGAGCTTCAATACTCATGGGCACAACATGACAGACCCGGATACTCGGATTGATCGCCAATTGCAGGTAAACATTGGGTTTTGATTGTTGATTTTTAAATTTGATAGTTTTGTGTTGAATTGGGTCGTCGAAAACATCGAATTCCGGTGGCTTGATTGAGTTTGTTTACCCTATTTGTATTGGACATGAAAGTTTCATTTTTAAGTTGTAGTTTTGTAGGCAATTGAACAGAGTCTTCTGCTGAAATTGAGATTAAAGTGGTTAGCTGGGTTTAGATGCGATGTAAAAACTGGGATTTTCTTGTGTAGCTGACGTATCGAATTCGAGACCCGGGCCTTGTTTGATTTCTACATTTATACAAGAAATTGTAGAACAATTTTTAGTAAGTTAGAATGTGTCTCCACCTGTTATCTTCACTTGGTCTTTGTCAACAGGCTTCTCAAATTTTAAGTCCTCTCTCTAGCGCTACCGATTTTCCAAATCACTGTCAAATAGATCCTTGTTGTGTTTCCAGTTGACCTTTTTCCGTGTGGAATTCCATAGTCTTGTTATGACTAAACTTTAGTTATTTATTTATTTATTTCTTTTTCTGATTTCAGATAGATTTATTGAAAATCTTGGGAGAATCAAAGTACTGGCAAAGATCTGGAGGGCGAGACCATGTTATCCCTTTGACACATCCCAATGCTTTCAGATTTCTTCGGCCACAGGTCAATGCGTCAATTCAGATCGTTGTAGATTTTGGCAGGTATCCTCATGTAATGTCAAATCTGAGCAAAGATGTGGTCACCCCATACGTACATGTTGTGGATTCCTTTACAGATGATGACCGTCCAGATCCATTTGAGTCCCGTACTACGCTTCTTTTCTTCCAGGGAAGGACATACAGGAAAGATGTATGTTATCTTCAAAGTTGCTTGAAATAACACCATCCTATCTTGAAACCTTGTACTTGGATCTACAATTGATTATCTCTGGTCATGTTATATGCAGGAAGGCATTGTTCGTGTTAAACTGGCAAAAGTCTTAGCTGGTTATGATGATGTTCACTATGAGCGAAGTGTTGCAACAGGAGAGAACATAAAATTGGTATGTATGGAGTATGGAGTTTTATAATGGGTCATAGGTGATATTGTTTCGTGCATATTCTTTATCCTGGAAAGTATGGATTTTACACACTAGTCACTGGAAATGATTCTTTGTTGTCCTTGGCATCATTTACATTTCTTTATGATCTTTAGCCTTCTTATTAAAACTATTTCTGTGCATACCGTAATCCCCCTACTTGTAGTTTCTATCTGAATATCTAACGCAATGATCGCAAGAATAAATTCCTTACTTTTATTTTATTCAAGAAGGTTTTTAATATATGCCCTCACATAAAGAAGACGGGAAGGTTGAGGGTATGGAAGGTTGGAAACTTACATTTATGTGATCTGCTTTTTCCTTCGGATGGATAACTTTCCCTTGGCATAGGAGGATTTTTTTGGTAGCCATCAGAAGTTTGAGGAATGATTCATTTATTAATATATAAATATAACTTCTAATGTTTCTCATTTTTTTTCTTTCTGTTATCTCAGTCTACGCGACGAATGCGTTTATCAAAGTTCTGTCTGCATCCTGCTGGAGACACTCCTTCATCTTGTCGCCTATTTGATGCTATTGTGAGCCACTGTGTTCCTGTCATCGTGAGTGATGAAATTGAGCTCCCGTTTGAGGATGAAATTGACTACACCAAATTCTCACTATTCTTCTCATTCAAAGAGGCTTTGAAACCTGATTACATGGTTAATCAGCTCCGTAATGTTTCAAAGGAGAGATGGATTGAAATGTGGAGGACACTTAAGAATATCTCCCACCATTTTGAATTCAATTACCCCCCAGAGAAAGAGGATGCAGTCGATATGCTATGGAGACAGGTGAAGCACAAGCTCTCTGCTGTCAAACTTTCTGTACATAGAATCCAAAGGTTGAAAATACCAGACTGGTGGCGGAGGAGAAAGTGATTTCAGGAGCTAGCGTTTGTTGTATATTCAAGATCCTTTTTTCCATCATAGTGACAACCCTTAACGGGGTAAAGAAATATAGGCACCACAACACCCACAGATTCTGCGGGTAATGTTTGAGAGATTCAATAGCATTCTTCATAGCTTGCGGCTTATCTATTCATTGACCCTGCCAATTTTCTGTGTCATTTGAGAGATTCAGTACCGTTCTTCAAGTCACATATTGGGAGGTATTTTCTCTTGATGATCAGTTGCATCGGGTTACTAATTTTTTAACAATTGCTAGTTGTCGGACTCTTGAGCACTGTAAATTTATTTGAGTTCTAATGTTGTAATAACATGGCCGTTCGCATTGCCGCTGATTTTGGCTATCGTGGTATATTTTCTAGCTTTTCCAATGCAGAAAAATGGTGTATAGTATCCTTGGGTAGTCGTCCAGTTTATTTTCGACGAGATGGCTAAACAAATTGACGGCCCTCCCAAGAAATGTGGTTTCCAATTAGGCTATTCAGATCGATGTCTATGTAATATTTGCTTAATGAAACTAGATTGCTGAAGGCAGCATCTAAATTGGTAGCAGACCGAGAGTTTTCTAACTAGAATTTCATATGATTCGAAACGCCCTTCGGGTGATAAATCAGTACATATCTTGTAGAGAATGATTGCATATTTATGAACAAACATGTCAGACTGGATACAAAGTGATAAGGTGCAACTGAAATCCCCAGGTTCTGTAGTAGGCTTAGAATCCTGGTTGCTTGAATTGCGTACAGAGCTTACCTTTGAAACACCGAGCAACTCTCGAAGAGTGTACAATGTGTACACCAGAAAAATATTCGAACGAAAAAGAATCACAAATCGGTGTGTTCAACGTGAATTCGAACCCTATGCCACGATGTGTTCAGTATTCCTCTCAGGTTCCAGATGGCGTCCACATTTTCGGGTTGGACGTTTGCAGCTATATCGATCTGTTCAACAAGATTCATGTGTAAGATAACATGAGCAGAGAAGTAGTCGAATTATAAGCAACGGTTACTTACTGCTTTAGCCACGATTTCAGTGCTGCGAGAGACAATCGCCTCAGCCTTAAAAAGCACCCATCCCCACTTGTCGCTACTCGCATCATCTGCAACATATGGAGCTCCACTCTTTTGGTATCGGGTTGCTTCCACCCACGTCCTGCCACCATCGAACGATACATCTACTCGCTCAATCCCCCGCCCACCTCCAGACACGGCATAACCATGAACTACTACCTGCACAGAAACGCGCTTGTGTGCAAAATTACATCAAATGTAAGTAAATTTTGCAGGGCAGTGTGACAAAATATAATGACTAATTGTATACAGAAAACGTACTTTTCCAGGATTTACAGCGTTTTCTTCCTCCAAAGAACAAATTACAGACTGCAGAAACCATCAAATACAATATCCATTATTTCAACAAGAATCATATCAGTAAAGTCAGATACTGAAGCTGCATTAAACAGTAACGACGTGCAAAGAGTTGTAGCAGGAGGCTAGGAGCAGACCATCGATATCTAGAAGTACCTGAACAGGAAAATCCATCTGAGGCCGCCGGGTTGACCAATCGATATTTTCCCAGTTCACAGTAGGAGGAAACATTTTGTAGTCCCTTTGCATAAAGAATCCCTGTTCAACCACAAAACACAATTATTATATCCATCTCAGGAGTCACAAGCATAAAGAGCAGGCCACGCAATTGGATTTGTGAAAACCAACCTGGCATTCGTTTTCGATTATGTTGATGGAACTCAGCCATTTGACAGAACGGGCACCTATAACACCCGGAACAACTACACGCAGCGGATACCCATGATCCCGGTTTAGAGGCTTTAAAATAGCAACATGGTCAGATAGTATAAGAACAACTCAAGAAATTTGATCCAAAACAAAAAGAGTTTCACGCAAGCTATTCCTTTACCTCTCCATTCATTTCATATGCTAGTAAAACTTCAGCGTCCGAGTTTGTTGCTTGAATCATCGGTATTGACGCCTTGTAAGGTCCGCCCTTTTCCTCCTTAAGAAATCATTGTACCATATAAAACATTCCCGAGTAAAGCGATTAACATGTAGCACAAAAATTGCAGCTCACCTTGCACATGTCAACGCTTACAAACTCAACGTGCTTTCCTCCCAACGGGGAAACTGATGTTACTTAGCGATTCCCACAAGTTTGAGAACATCAGCGAGTTTAGCCCCACCCCAAACGGCTGAAAGAAGACATAAGACAAACAAACACGATCAAGTTTACTTTAAATACTCACATTTTAACAGTGAAGGAAATTAATAAGGACAGATTGTAGCAAGTTTACCGTTTCCAATGGCGGAAACGTCCCAGCCAACGCCTTTCACTGTTTTCACTTTGCTCATTGCGGTCCTTCTGTTACCTGCACACTGCTTAGCTTGAAACAAACCAAATCGAATTACTATCGAGCAGCTGTAACTAAATTATACAATGCTCAGCATCACAGTTGACAAACTTACTTGTAGAGTGGCTGTCACAATGTGCTTCGGCAGATTCCTGTTTTCGCAAAACCGAAATGTTATTGTTTAAGCAGATTAACTAATCATGATTAGGTCTCCCTCCGATATACTAATAAGTACTTACACAATGTCAACCATTGATATCTCCAAGGGTTTCTCCACCAAACCGCATATAGACAATCGATACCTGCTTCGCCAAAAATATTGTAGCCGTCAGTGAACGGGTTCTTCACAAACAAGCCCGCAAAAACTCCATTGCCGTAGTCAATAACACTCAAAACATCGTTTTGAAGAACAAAAGAAACTTCGAACCCAATTGTTGTTGCAACAAACATTAACAGTTGACGTCTCTCTTTAGTTCAATTCTCGAAGTATTTCTCATTAACATTAAGAGTCGTCACCAGGACTACACTAACTAAGTAAATATAAAATGGCATAACATTGCTTTGGAGGAGACAATTGAAAATTCATGAAATTGAACAAAAGAGTAAAGAAAAAATTGGATTGAAGTCTTTTCTCGAGCGTTGAGAAGAGCATTCTGCTCCAGTCAACTTAGCAAGCTTATGTCTTTTGAAATTATTATTATAAATAAATTATTGTAAAAAATGGTAAGATGTTTTGAACCTTTCAATGTCATCGACGACAGGGATAGGGCCATGGTTTCGCTTGTAGAACAAATCCACCGGTGTCACGTACGACTCTAATAACGCCGCACGTGGTGGTTCTGCATTAAAAGGTTCCTGCACGACGCAAAACAGATATATCATATATAGACAAGAAAATGGATAAATAAAATAATTATATTAATTTTCATGTCGTGATCCGACCTGGGAATTAACAAGGAGACTTGGATGACGAGGTGGCTCCTCAGAATAATCAGACGGGGCTCTTAGACCTGACATTTTACTTACAAATGCAACGAACAGGAAACACAGGGAAAAGCAGGGGATTTTGTTTCGTTAAAGTTAACCAAATGCTGAAAATAAAAGAGACCACAAGTTTGAAGTTTCTATTTATATGTGGTGGTGGTGGTGGTGGCATTTGTGAGGTTCCTATACTTCAGATATTTAATTGTTAGATTGTATCAACCTGTCTCTAATTTTATAATTTTATCAATTTTAAAAGTGCGAATTGAAGAAAATGCCCCTGGAGGTGAGATTGTTGACCTTCGTTGGCTATGTCGTATCATAACACGTATGAACCATTCTTAGCATATTATCGTAGTACTCGTCACTACGAACACGTGGGCGCAAGCAAAATTGAAATCGGAGTTACGACGAAGATTTTACAAAACTACGAATCCAAAAGATATTTTTGTAAAATTACTATTTTATTATTTTTAGGCTCACTCACCCTTGTTTTTCGTCCCTCCAAGTTTTAGTGACCAAGCTTTCGTGTCGACGAGGATTCTTGACAAATGTTGGTATAGAAGAGTACCTTCGATGGTATAATTCTTATCTTACTTTTACTGTACTGTACTGTACTTATGTTCTGACATCATATGTAAATTGGGTTCAATCCCGCTAATATGTGCACTCTTGCATTTAGTCACCTATAAGTTTAAATTTACTCATGTTTTCCATATTACTACACTTTATGGCTTCGTCACATTTTTGGTGTCAACCGACACAGCTCGATTCAGAATTCAGTTGGACATTTTAGGTCGGGGCGTGTCATAGATTGTGGTCAAAGATACGATGACTAAAATTTAACGGTTAAAAATTCAAGATAATAGATACACGGAGCACATTTGAAATTTTTCATATTCAATGATGATTTGGTTCGATCGGTTTTTTAACGTTCAAATTATTTTTTGCCCATAGCATGTTGGCTCGAGCCTTTATTCATGGGGAGCAGAAAGCAACGTGTATGGTATGGTAAACTGTCATGATGATGTCTCGTGTCAATGATATAAGAATATATAAAGAAAAATTAACACATATCCTTATATTATTAGTACGGAAAACTAAAATGATAGTGTACTCGTGTTAACAAGTCCAATTCATGGAGAACAGTCCATAATTATTATTTTATTTTGACTTTTAGAGTTTGTTGTATTTTCATGTTCGGACAAAGATGATGAATTGTGGTGAAGATGCATCCAATTCATGGAGAACAGTCCATAATTATTATTTTATTTTGACTTTTAGAGTTTGTTGTATTTTCATGTTCGGACAAAGATGATGAATTGTGGTGAAGATGCACCTGGATGTTATTTAGGATAATCTTAGTGTGGTTTTTTTTTTTTTTTTTTGTGGGTGGGGGGGTGTGTGGGGTAAGGCTAGGTGTACCGTTAACACTAAATTCCACAAGCAAATGACACAACCCAACTAAAATATTCATGCGAGTAATCTCCATTGATAGGCTAACGGCACAACCATATCAGTACCCAGATTAAGTTATTCCTCTATTAAAGTACCCAACTTCCACAATAAGTTTTCAAGTTGCAATGGTCCCTATCAATAGAATAAAGTAGACATGGAGAATGGTCTCGAAGAAAAGTTGGATGGATTAATGGCTAATGATGATGGATGGTAATTGCAAATAAAATAGTATAGGTGACAAGGTATTGTTATGTGATATTATTAACACTCGTAATACCGTCATCTTAATAGAATTTTATATATTGTCATGACTTTTTTAATGACCATTTAATAAATATTGATATTTCAATTTTATGTGATGAGGATGATATGATCATGGTAAAGCAACTTTTGAGGTTGTGACGGCAATGATGATGATGGAAGTTACATGTAGCGATTGTAGGCAAGATGGTGGTAGTAAAGGTGGCATTGTTGGTAGAGGTGGCAAATCATAAAACTCATTAAGACTCGTTTAGTTTGATTTCACCTTACACTATCATCACCACTACCATTATTACCTCTATATTATGGTGATATCAAATTAAACGCATACCCATTAACAACTCAACAAGTTGATTTGTCACCTCTAGTCGTTGGTGAGGGAGATAAGAGTAAGGGTGGTGAGATTGTGGCTGTAGCCTGGTGTTAGGGTGATGGAGGAGTGGGGGTGGGTACGGTCTTGATGAGGTGGTGATAATGGTGGTAAAGTTGGTGGTCACGGCAGGAGTGGTGGCCATAAGATAGTCGTAGAAGGTTATGGTAGTTGTAATGGGGGTGTTGACGATGGGTAAGGTATATAAGATGGTGGTAGACTGGTAGTAGAGATGGCAGTCATGGTAGTGATGACATCGGCGAGTGATTGTAAGAGGTTATGGTACTATGGTGGTGGTATTGATAAGGTGATGGTGGGGGTGACAGGGTCATGGTGATGGTCATGGCAAGGTGATAATAGTTGTGGTGGTGTAGTGGCAGTGAGGTGACACATAGATGGTCAGGGTAAGGTGGTGGTGGTGGTGGTGGTAGCTAGTGATAATTATTGTATTAATTATGGTGAGTGATGGAGTATATGATTAGAAGTGGGAAAAATAAAATCCAGCAAAATCTTATGGGTAGTGATTGGATTCACAATGACAAAATATTTATTATAAAAGCACTCAAAGTCTATAAAATCCTTTAAAATCAACGAAATTTTAAATACACCTATATAGACTTACAAAAATCTTAATTGAATACCACGAGATTATATTGTATACACTTGAATTTGAGAGTCAAACAAAACTTTTTGAAGTCCATCAAATTTTATATAGAATAAGGGCTCTAAAATTCATGATAAAAATCTCACATACTTTGTTAAGATCTACGAAAATATTCAAATCAAATCCACATGAACTTATTAAAGGCAACTAAACTCCCTCAAAATCTTTATGTTCATAGCTCTGTGAAAATCCATTGAACGTTATATACAATACACTCCTTAATAATGATCTTTTATTTACTAATACTATATCATAAACGTTAAATAAAAATACTGTTCAACAATAAACCTGTTACATATAAATTATTTTCCACAGAGCTAAAACAGCCCAACCAGCCACACGGCCCACACCTATCAAATAAAAAGTGAAGCCCAATCAAAAAGTCTGGCACGACCTTTCCTTTTAAGGCCATGTTATTGCCACCTACCCCTTTACTCCCAATTTCCCAATATAAAACACACAATGCACCCAACTGCTTATTTCACAGAAAATTTGAAATTGAAGAAAATAAACATTTGCTCTTTTGTTGTTCACTCAGCCATGGCAGACGACAGACAGGAGAAGATAATCCTCAAAACCCCAGCACTTCTCAAGGTACACTCTCGTTTTCTTTTCCCTAATGTAACCCGTCGCTTCTACAGATCATATACATTCTTATAAAAGAGAGTTTCACATGAAACTAGATCGCTAGAGTGACGTTCTTCCAAACTTATCAGGCATTTTAACTTTCTTACACGGTGTTCCATGATTAGTTTGTAACACCACCGTCTTGACCTCCTATTTCATATAAGTGATTTTCTATCCTTAGTGTATTGCCTAGTTCTTTCTCATTTTCCAGATTCTTTCTTTCATATTCGGATTGGAGTTTTCAACATTTTCGCTCTAATTTTTTTTAATAAAAATTTCTCGTACTGTGGAAAAATAAATAAACATTGATAATCTTTAGTCTTTTCAGCTAAAAATCAGATACTTTTTCATTATTAAATTTTTCAACGAGGGAATCGGCTACTTTTTTTTAAAATTTTTAAATTATGAGATGGCCATATATCATGATGTACAAATGTCTATCTTCTGCATTAAACCATTTTCTTTGTCATTTTATTTTATTTTGTTTTAAGAAAACGGTTTGAAATGACGAATTCGCAATCAATTCATAAATATATCGTTGTATCAAAAATTCTTGAAATTCAGGTTTACGTGTCCACATTTTGTTGTTGTTGAAATATTTACAAACTAAAGAAACAGAAGGTGCTAATTATATTTTGCATTAACTAATGGTCTTATCCTCAAACAAACGCAGTCAATTAACGGCCTTAATTTCTGATAGTACAGTAAATCTTCGAAACAAGCTGCTTTCCAAGAGAACACGAGCAACTGAAGCAACTAAGGGAGGCCACCATCGAGAAATATGCAGTCTGGTAGGGTTTGATATTTGTAGTACTCCTTTTCCTTCGTACTGGGCTTAAATCCCCACCAAGGTTTTAACGAGACCACATTTTGCACCCAATCCTCTTGTACGCTTCTCAGATGAGGCATTGAGGGGGAGCAAATTGTGCAGTCGCACAGCCCCAAATTTGAAAGGATCCCAAATTTTTTGTCATCTAATAATTATATGTAATAATTTTCTATATTTAAAAATTATTTTTGTTATGTAATAATGTTAGCATTTTAAATTTCATTGTGCACTCATTATAAGCGTAATTTTTTTCTTTTAAGTATAAAAATTTGGAGTATAATGAAATATTTTGAGTGCCAATAATAACACCTTAAAAATGGTATTTTTTTTTCAATTTTATTATATAATAATGTTATATATTCAAGTGAAACAGCAAAGTTAGAGCTTTTGAAGTTTTTTATTTTATTTTTAAGATTGAACTGCTTTTTATTATTTAGTGAACAGTATGTTTGTAGCTCTTTATACTTATTATTAATGACATTTTTAAACTTGCAATCAGTGAGTGCTAAACTTAGTTTTGATTTAAGTGATTGGTTTTTAGCGTCTATACATTGTCCTGCCTTTTTTAAAACTATGTTAAGGGCGGGCCCTTTTAGGCCATCTCCAACCGAATGGTTCAGAGGGCCAGAAGGCCGAAAATAGCCTGAAAATCGTCTCTAACCGAGGGATAGGCCAGAGGGCTCTGGAATCTGGGAGGGCCCCACGGAATCGAAGAGGGCTGGATGGTTGAAGGGCTAGAGGGCTGGCTATTTTTTTTTTAATGTTTTGTTATTTCTGTTGGTTATAACCGACATGATTTCTTAAGAAAAAATTCAAATGCAACGGCTAGTAGCCATTGCATTTGTTTTTTTTTTTTACAGTTTTATTATTATTTTTTATTTACAAAGTTGTTGCATTTGAATTTTTTTTTTTACAGTTTTATTATTTATTTTATTTACAAAAATTTTCATATAACTTCTATTTTTTTCTTATAAGTTATATTTCACAAAATTTATTCCATATTTTTTTTAAATTCCATTTTTTTCCTATAACTTCTATTTCACAAAATTTGTTTCATATATTTTTTTTAAATTTCATTTTTTTCCTGTAACTTCTATTTCACAAAATTTGTTTCATATTTTTTTTAAATTCTATTTTTTTCCTATAACTTCCTAAGCCATTATACAATATTAAATTAAATTAAGTAACATGAACAACATTAAACAATATGAAACGACATTAAATAACATTAACCAACATAAAAATTATACAACATGAAACTTAAACAACATTTTAAAAAAACATTTAAGTTGTAGTTTTTAAATAATAAATTATGTTTGGCCCTCGGTTGGAGAGGTTTTTTGTGAAATGGCCAAAACGAGCCATCTGGCCCTCTGGCCCTCGGTTGGAGACGAAGGCAAATATGATCATGTACTGTTCATTAAAATATTAATATCTTGGAGAATCTTGGATGGCCATAGGGCTAAAACAAGCTATCTAGCCAGTCATCGGTTGGACATGGCCTTATAAATTTCGCACAGAACCTCCAAAATCTCAAAGACGGCCCTGACGCTTCTTCATAAATGAATATATAATTACTTGAGCCTAAAGGATTACATTTCGAACACGCAGGAGTCTTATGAATGTGCCGGTAGATGAAGGTCTGCTTCTATCGATGCTTCTGAAGGTGATGAATGCGAAGAAGACGTTGGAGCTCGGTGTCTTCACTGGTTATTCTCTTCTCACTACTGCTCGTGCACTGCCTGCTGATGGCAAAGTATGTAATAGTCGTTTATTAATATTATTCATGTGTTTTTTTTTTCAATTTTTTTGAAATAGTTAGATTAACTTCATCCTTTTACGTGTAGTGGTTGGCTAGATTAATATTTCAAAATTTTAGATAACAGTAGTCGATGTAGATAAAGAAGCCTATGAGGTTGGACTGCCATTTATTCAGAAGGCTGGGGTGGAACATAAGATTAACTTCTGCCAGTCAGATGCCTTCACGCTCCTAAATGATCTCATTACCAAAGTAAGTTAATGTTTGTGATTTATGTTGGGAGAAAGTAGGTTAGGCCATTATAATTTATAACGCGGGGTGGCCTGTGTGCATTGAAAATTGTACTTGTGTGTGGTTGGAAGGAACCTATATACAGTGGAGCTCTTTTCTTCGGTAGAGTGCATGATCATTAAGCTGGTCAAGCTGGCCCACCTAAGTTTGTCTCTAGATTTCGAGTAATGTTTTAAAAGACGAAGGCGTGGGCGAAGTGTTTGATGGATAAACCCGCCTAGGCAAAAGCCTTAAAGCGTGAGACGAAGCCTCACGAGACCTTTTTTTTTTAATACATAATTTATACATATAAAAATATAATAGTGTTTGGACCCGATTTTACACCATCGGCCCAAGCGATCAAGGCCGTTGAGTAGGCATGATTCTCAACCGTCAGATGAGAAAGTGGATATAATTTGGTTATTAAAGGATAATATTATAATTATCTTTTAATATGAATTATCTCGGTATCTTTTTAAACCAGATAAATAGAATGCGATTCATGTCCCGAATAAGCAGTACAATTCGAATTGATTTGGGATGTCTGACAACACTTGGAAGTAAATGGATTTAAAATTCATTTGATCAGAATGATGATGGCTATTGTTGATGAGGTGAGGATGAGATAGGAGACTTAAGAGGGCTAGGTTTATGGATGTTGTCAGATAAAGTGAATTGATGATGGACATGGCATGCATGCCGTGTCAAAGGCTACCAGCCATATATACATATATATATATATATATATATATGTATATAATTGATGGTTGATTAGATGGACGTTATCCAATCATGCAGGTTATCTTGGATTCGATGAGATAAAATGAGTTTTAATAGTTTGGGAGTCTTTCTCATCTTATCAACCAGTGCGTAATCGTCACTATAAATACAGAGTTACAGGCAACATTCAAGGGACCTCGAATTCAACACACAACTGCTCTGCGCAAACTCTCTTAACAACTTGAGATTTTTATTTTTTCTTTTCACTGACACATCTTCCGTTGGCATTAACAGCACTGTGGAAGCAACCGGTGATATCTTCAGTCGGCATAGATAGCTCCGTCCTCGTAGAATCAGCCGATCTCACAACATCTTCCGTTGGCACCAACAACACTGCGGCGAGGACGGCTGGTTACCTATCCAAGTCTCAGTCGAGAAGGGTTTCTGAATCCTTATTGATTGAGGTCATCTTATTAGCCTTCTCGGCGAAGTGAGGTGTTACAGCTTACTGAGCTCGGCGCATTGCACGCCGAGTTATTTTATGATTGGATATTCTCAAGTAGGATTTAGAGTTCGGCATTCAGACGGTCGAACCACGTTCACTATTAAGACTCATATCTGCTTTGAGTATTTGTGCCCTTACACTTTGGTGTCGATTCGACGTGAGTTTACTCTCACGAATACCATCACTGTGACCGAATCTGACAACGACGATTCGTGAACTTAGTAAGAATAGTAGCCTTGTCTTCATGTTCGAGAACCCAAGAGGCCGAGACGTGTTCCTTTCTTGGCTGCAATAGCAAGACTCAGAAGTCAGCCGTGCACCCAACGCAACATCAACAAATTTACTCCTCGGCCAAGCTCGGCCGACGAGTTGGCACGCCCCGCATTCACCGAAGGACGTAGTTGGCTTATAGATTACTCGGCCTACGCGTCACGTAGGCTTGGTAGTTTTTAGGGTCAACAAATAGCCACAGACAAGTTTAAATCACATAACCAAGTTTAATCAAGCAATCAAATTAATCAATTTCAAACATCTACTTAAGTAAGTGCCTATTTATATGAGAGTTTTTGGATAATATTTGGGTGGGATAGGTAGTCTTAAAAAAAAAGAGAAATAAGGGAAAAAATATAACGAATTTTTAAAAAAGAATAATATAACATTAAGAAACTAATAATCCAAATAAAAAGATGTTTTCTTTTCTACGACCAATCATGAGAATATTCAGAAAAATAATAAAAACAAAAACAAAACAATGCTTATCTAATATATATCTAGTATATGAGAAAATAAATATTAGAAATAAAAAAATGAAGAGAAAATAGATAGTGGGGTAATAAATGTCTTTATAGTGGGATTAGTTTTAAAAAAGTGAAGATAATGGGGTAATAAATGTGACAAAGTGGGGTCAGTTTAAGCATTAAAAAAAGAAAAAAAATTAAAAACACCAACTCAGCCTAAAAAACCTAGTCGTCGCTAGTGTTCATGGCCTGCAACTCAAAACAGCTCTACAACTCTAAAAAATTTCTAGATTTTTTAAACTTAAAAAAGAAAAAGGAACGCCCAATCGACGGCTTAGGCGCCTAGGCGCATCCCAAGAAGCCTAGGCGTGTATTTCGCCGACTCCCTTAAAACAGAGGCGAAAATGGTGCAGCCTTGCCTCCAAGGCCGCCTAGGCGTGCTCCGAGCCGAGTCTTTTGAAACACTAATTTCGAGTAACAAATTGGTAAATATGAATAGCATTTGTCTTTAAAACAAAGAGAAAGCTACATTGTTATGGAGAATGTTATCCGCACCCTCAAATTAGCATGTTAAACCTATTTTATGAGTGTTTAATAATATAATGTTGATTCTAAGTAAATAATGATGAATTTGGGATGTAATATATCATCACGATAATTAGCTTAAGTAATAAGTAGTAGTAGTTAATACATTATTTGATTTGGAGAATTAAACGTGCAATCAATTAAGCAGGGGAAGGAAGAAGGGAGCTTTGATTTTGCATTTGTGGATGCCGACAAGGACTCCTACATGGGATATCACAAGCTGCTGATGAAGCTTGTGAAGGTTGGAGGAATCATAGCTTATGATAACACATTGTGGTTTGGGACAGTGGCGGAGCCTGAGGAGAATGTGCAAGAATTTGCAAGGAAAGGCAGAAACATTTGCTGGAACTTAACAGCTTTCTTGCCGCGGATGACCGTGTTGAGCTAGCCGTTGTTTCCATCGGAGATGGACTCACCCTCTGCAGGCGTCTCTGTTAGTTTGCTGAGCAAGAAACAACTCTCATTTTGAAGTTTTCTAATAAATAATTAAGACAGTTTTATCTGTGGTAATTAAAATGGTTATGAACCATCTTGGTTGCCTTCTTAATGAACTTCATTTAATCTTGGGAGATTTTCTATTCCAAATTTTAAACATAAAATTAATGTGGGTTTTATTTTATTTTGATTTTAAATAAGTTTTTACCATTTAGTACTACGGTATGGTAGTATTTCTCTTCACTTAGAAGTAAGAGGTCTTAGGTTCGAATCTTGTTGATGGCAAATTCGATACTAAATTAGGCTGGCCATTGTATAGCTTAGCCGAACTACTCATCCTCTTAGTGTAAAAATATCGATATACTAAAAAAAATTGCTTTTATTTTTTTGGAAACAAGGAAATTCTATGTTAATTACATTTGGGGAATGCTTGTGATTTGCTACAGGCCACCGATTGGGGATGTGTCCGACTAACCTAATGGTTTATGGTGTGCTTAACGTGACCTTAGCATTTGGGCTCTGCTTCTGCCCCGTTTTTTGAATGATCATTTTCTCCTAGCATATAGCCCAAATGAATATCAACTTGAAAAATACCCTAAAATTTAACATAGATACTTATTTTTTTGTAGTACGTGAACAGTAAGACACTCAAATGATGATATACTTTCAATAATACGGTAATACCTCTTCAAAGTAAGAAAGAGTTACATAAAACATGTTTATCATCATCGTGACATCCTGAACCACTAATACAAGGTCATGTATAAGACTCTTAACATGACCTTGTAAAATTGGCCCAAGACGTCACAATAATTGTGGACCTGTTTCATTTAAGTTCTTTTCTATAATAGAGATCGTAAAGTGCTATTTTGTAGGTTTTCCCTCTTACTTGTCAACCACAAAGAAAACCAATTCTCATGTGGAGTAGAACAAAATACTCCTCAAGTTTGATTTCCCAAACTCTCGTGGTTGAAAGCTGACAAGTCCAGTTTGCGTAATATGAAGAGAGATTGGGTTGCTCAACTTTTCTTTTTCTTTCCTTCTTGGCAGATCTGGAACTCGGTTTCAATTTCTACTTCATGTCTCCTTTGGGTGACAGCCACAGCCACTCTTGGTATCTTATCCTCTTTACAAGCCAAAAGACTGTCACATTATGAATTTGCTAATTAGCTCTAAGTGTGGTGCTAATCATCTTATTAAGATTTTAATCCCACACCTAATGCAGGTTAGTGACGTTGCATTTTCTCATCCACATGATAGTAGAGAGACAAATGTTATTAGTGTGATTATTAATGAATCAACCACAACCCACTAGCAATTAATAGCTTGTTTGGATGTACTTTTAAACTGACTGAAAGCGCTTTTAGGAAAAATAGTTTTAGGTTCCAAAAGCATTTGAAGCACCAGTTATGTGTTTCTTCAAGAAAATACTTAAAGTAATTTTCCAAGATTCACTTACATTTTTAGTAAATATCAATTCTAAAAACATTTTCACCAAAAACGGTTTCAGTCATTTTAAAAAACACATCCAAACAAACTCTAAGACTTGTTGGGAATCGTTCAGCGCTTTCATATAACAAAAAACATATGTGATAACATTTTGCAGAAAAAATTGAAAATAATCCTTGATTCAAAGACTTTGTAACTTTCTTACATAAAGCGTTTATAAGTGATTTTTACATAAACATTTTGAATTGGATCTTAAAATATGTTTAAGACTGTTTCTAGAAGGGCTAAACGATGCTTTCTACCAACTAAACACACTTGTGCGTACTAAAAAAAAAAACACTTGTTCGTTGTAACGATTCCCATACAAGCATTTTCAAATGAATTTGTGGCACACTCTCCCAAATATCATAAAAGATCTTAAGTTCGAGTTACTTTCACGTTAAAAAAAATGAAAAAGGCTAATGCTCAATCAAAATGTTAATGGGCCAATCCATAACTGAAGATTTTCCAAATAAAGTAATGAAAGGCCCAACCTGGAATGCTGCTAATCAAATGTTGCTAATACAAATTAGAACCTAAAACAGTTAACAGGGAAGGCAGAACCATATTCGTCATTGCTTAGGAATTAAGTCAAAGCATGGCCAGTGCGGTACGGTGCGGTGCAAAAACAGGTGTGCACCTATGAATAAGAAACCCTAACTACAACAATTTCTCCTCAAGTTTTTATTCAAATAATAAAAGAGGAAAAAAAAAAAAAAAGAGAAAGACCGACCAAAAGCCACAAAAGCTCAAGGGTTGTAAAAACAAAAACCTGCAGAGATCCTTGAACCCAAAGCTTGGACAATACCTACCTTTTGGCACACTTGTCTTTTAAGCAAAACTCACACCCAAGAGGTCCACCATAACACATCTGCCTTATCAAGGAACATCCCACGTTCTTTCTCTTTCCGCACTGCATGCCAGGTTTGCCCTGATCACCGGAGAAAAAAAGAAAAACGTCAGATGGGTTCGTTTCAGACGCCGATGGGAATGCGAAGCTCCACGCTTTTGGAAACTTCGTGCGGATACTTGCTTCAGGAATTGCAGGCAAGATTTCGTTCTACATTTATCGGAAGAAGCTGCTTAACTATAATGCCTTTGAATGATTCTCGTTCTGAGACTTTTAAATTTCTGTTTTGTTTAACTTACATGGAAGCAGATGATTTGGAATGAAGTTGGGCAAGATCAGTTTGAAAGGGAGAAGGTGCTGCTGGATTTAGAGCAAGAATGTCTGGAGGTTTATAGGAAGAAGGTTGATACTGCAAATACCTCGAGAGCTCGCTTGCACCAGGAGTTGGCTGAAGCTGAGGCTGAGTTCACCCATCTTCTTCTGTCGCTGGGCGAACGGTCTCTCCCTGGACGGGTACATCATTTAGCAATACCGGTTAACTCTGTAAAATTAGTATGACTATTAACATTGCATGCATGTTAATATAGAACTCATATAAGTATGTGAACTTTGAGGAAATATAAGGAATTCTTACTTTCTTGGGGTGATTCTTATATTATCCCATCAGCCAGAAAAATTGGCGGGAACGCTGAAAGAGCAGCTGGATTCACTCACGCCGGCATTGAGGGAGATGAGATTGAGGAAAAAAGATAGGGTGAATAAGTTTCGAGCAGTACAAGGGCAAATTCAGAAAATTTCTGCAGAAATAGCAGGTCAGTCAGAGTACGGAGACTTATCATCAAATATCGTGGTGAATGAGAATGATCTTTCGTTGAAAAAACTAGAGGAGTATCAGACGGAGCTACAAACACTCCACAACGAGAAGGTACCATAATGTAGTTCAGAAATTGTTTCATGGACAACGAATAATATGTCATTCTACATGATAAGTTCAAATCTCCTTCTTTTGTGTGTCTTGCAGAATGAAAGGCTCATGAGAGTCGAAAAATATATAGATGCAGTCCACAATTTGTCTTCGATATTAGGAACAGAAGCCTCAATGGTAATCACCAAGGTTCATCCAAGCTTGAATGAATTATGTGGGTTGGCCAAAAACATAAGCAACAATATTTTGGCTAAACTTAACAGCACAGTTGAATCCCTAGAGGAAGAAAAGCAAAAGCGACTCGAAAAGGTGACAATTACCTACGCAGTTGTACCAGTTCTCACTAAAGATGTCTTAGTTGTACAGAGATATAATTACAGAAAGAAATTCATAGAACTGACTAAGTAGCCTAAGTTATGGTAAACTCAAGCATAAATTCCATGGTTTTGGTATTTCAACTTCTCTCATTTTTCCTATTTTCGCTTATTTTTCCATTTCAATATACAACTCTATTCTTCTGGGATTTTCAAGATACAATCTCACTTGTCAGATAAAGCATCAGTATCATATCTTTCTGTATATATATTTTCAGCTTCACCATCTTGGCAAAGTATTGACAAACTTATGGGATCTCATGGACACACCCTATAAAGATCGTCAATCGTTTTCCCATGTCACTGGCTTATTATCACTCTCATCGGCAGAAGTATCAGATCCAGGAAGCCTGACCCTAAATATAATACAACAGGCAAGTATAAATTTTGATGGTAATTCGTTGTATCGGAAAAGGGTAATAACATCATTCAAATTCGTTTTAAAGGCCGAAGCTGAAGTCAAGAGACTGGATCACTTAAAAGCAAGCAAGATGAAAGAACTATTTTTCAAGAAACAGAATGAGCTCAAGGAGATATGCAATAAATCGCACATGGAAATTCCTTTGCAATCAGAGATTGATAATCTTATTAACCTCATCAACTCTGGTGTGACTCTGTGATTTTCATTTCTTTCGTAAGAAATAAGATGATTTTCTTTGTTTATGGATAAAGTAGACTGTAAACTTACCTTGATGTACAACAGGGGAGATTGACCATGCAGATCTCCTAATGAGCTTGGATCAACAGATATCAAGAGCAAAGGAAGAAGCTTCTAGCAGAATGACTATCATGGAAAAGGTGGAGAAGTGGATGCTAGCACGTGACGAGGAGCGTTGGTTGGAAGAATACACTAGAGTCAGTATATGGATCTTCATTTATAGTAGGCTCATACCTTTATATGTACACACATAGACTTCAGTTTTACTAATTAAGAGCACCTCCTTTAGGACGAGAACCGGTACTCAGTCAGCAGAGGTGCACACAAGAACCTGAGACGTGCAGAACGTGCCCGAGTATTAGTCAACAAAATCCCAGGTAAATCCAAAAATTGTTTGTTAGCTATACACATTCACGTACAACAGAAGCAGGATTGTCATATGTAATAGGTCCAATCAAAGTTTACATACAAACACTAAACTTTGATGTTATACGTAACGCTAATAAGAATATCTTAGCCAGATGAGTTGCAGTTTCTCCTTAGATATCAATCAAAGAAGAAAGGAAATCTTTAATGTATGTGCCATGTTTTTGCATCACACAGTTACTGAGATCCAATAAAGATAAGTTTTCTCACAATATCATAAAATGCAGCTTTGGTGGATTTGCTAATAACAAATACTAAGAGTTGGGAAGAAGAAAGAAAGAAAACTTTCTTGTATGATGAGGTACGTAAAGAATTGTTATGCCTTACAAACAATATGCTATACTGTATTGAAACTAGAGTAGAGAAGTTTGTGTTCAACAAATTTCCACAATCAAAGGAAAATCACTCAGAACAAGGAATAAATTGAAATTTCAGAACCTGAATTCAAGAGATTGGTGTTTCTGTTAGACTTTTTCTCCACTCAAACATAAAAAAATTTCCCTTGTCACTTGGTTCAGTGGACCTCAAACGTTAGTTGAATGCATATAAATATGTTAAATGCAACCTCTTGTTTCATGAATATTACTGAAAAATAGCCACATACACATTAATCGATCTGATAAGAAGATACAAAAGCTGGATGTAACATGGTTTAAGCCTTTAAGGATGACAAGAAATTATGGACCTACGTGTCCCAGGGTTCTATGAATGTCTTAAGTTTTGTACTTCCGCGGAATATCACAGTAACTTCCATCTTTACACTGTATTTATTTGTCTTTAAAATTTTCCATGCTTTCTCTCTCTGGTAGACTGGTATTCCAAGTCAACTACAATTTCAGGGAAAACATGTCATGCAGGTACCACTCCTAGAAATGTTGGAAGAGTATAATGTGCTAAGGCAGGAAAAGGAGGAGGATAAGCAAAGACAACGGGTTAGTTTTATTTGACAATGTAATTAAAGGTCATCAGAATGCAGAAACTGTTTTATGTTTGCAGTTTTCCAGTTAGACCTCCTAGATATTTGCATGTAACTCGATAGAATAATTTCTCATTCAGTAATGGTCTATTGGCCTATGTATTAATTACCAATGTGATGAGGCAAGTTTTCCCTCACAGGAAGTGAAGAAGGTCCAAAGCCAAGTAGTAGTTGAGCAAGAAAATCTGTTCATAACCAGGCCAAGCACCAGTACAAGGCGAACTTCAAGCAGGACTTTGAATGGAGGTTTTAGCAACGCCATGCCTCTAAACAGAAGGCTTTCACTAGGCCTTCAGCAATTGGGACCAAACAGTGTAAACTCAGCCCCTCAAGGCATTTCCTTTATGAAGGAAGGCAAGAAGGCACACAGACAAAAGATGTCTGCTCGACCTGGCCTTGTTTCTCATCTTAGAGATGAAACAGCTTCAGTGGTGTCAACGTTTTCTGGTCCACAATCTCCCTGAATTGTGTCTGATTTGCCAATTGCCATGTCCTACGGGGGAGGAGAAAGGCGTGAGAGCTAGTTGCGCGGAAAGACCTAATAGATCATCCAGAAGAATAAGTTCAGTTTAGTAATTCAGCTAAAGAGACTGTATTTTAAGAATTACCCCAGTACCAGCAAGAGAGTCTAGAATTTTTAGACAACTGTAATTGCAAATAAAAATAAACAAGTTCTAAGAGGGTTTTCTTATTACTACCATGCACTGCAGGTTAGAAAAAGTAAAACATTAAGCAGCTTGCAAATCATGGGTTTCAAACTGTAATATTGCAAGGATTGTTGTGATTCTCATTTAAGCTATTCAATCAAGATTGGTAATACATACAATGTGTCTATCTCAACAGGACAAGAAGAAATTGCATCAAAAGACCAACCTAATTCAAAAATAAGAATTAAAATGGAAAACAGAAAGCACAGAAAAGGGGTTATCGAAATTTAGAACAATATGAAGCAATAATTGGGATATGAACACAAGCCAGAAAGTAAAGAACTTCTGTTTTGAACAACACAAAACATACATGGGAGCAGAATGGTAGAATTTTTCCCCATTTCCTTTGAACAAGATTGGCTGTTATAAGTATGTAAGAAATGTAAGGGCATGCCTTCTGCTTTTCTCGTCTCTTCGACTGTCGTCAACAATAGGTTTGTTCCTGTTGCTCATGCACTAATCTAATGCATTTGCTCCATTTACCATATCATGTACATAGAAAAACAACAGGAAGCTCAATCACTTCTCATGAACAAAACTAAAAGATGAAATACCTCCTTCCTGTTTCGATACCCCACTTCTCGACGATGATCATGACAAGAAGCAAGCAGATTCAACTATCATACAAGACAATGAGAACAAAACTTGCATACACAACATTGTAATCAGTAACCACCAAGATCAAAATATCAAATGCATTGGATAATTAGATAAATAATTACAAAAGTTGTAATCAGTCTCCTGGTCCATTGATTTCTCACCATTACAACCTGACCAAACAAAATGTTTCTTTTTTCGGCCTACAAAGACCGAAGATTTATGACTAGTTGATCTCAATTCGGGCTTCGTGGGTCTCAATTAGGGGTTCCTCATTCTCAATTGAAGCTTCGTCACTCTCGATTGGAACATCATCAACCTCAATTGGGGCATCGTCGTTCGTGATTGGACCATTGTCGATCTCAATTGGGGCATCGTCGGTCTCAATTGAGGCTTCGTCGATCTCAATCGGGGCTTCTTCTGTCTGGATCGGGGATTTTTTTGCCAGTTTGTGAAAGAAACCATCGATCAGACGAGTACCAGCTGGAGCTGGTCTATCGGCAGCGGTGCGGCTTCGGTCTCGTTTAGCTGGAGCTGAACTACTGACGACAGAGCGACCTTGACTCCGGTCGGTTGCCGGATGATTGGACGGCTGAGAGGGCACAGTAAGCTCATCGATTAGGAAATCACATGTCGGGCGGTGCCTCTTGACTGCGACTCGCATGTGCTCGAGCTTCACGACCTTGCGCTTCCTCTCCGTAGCGACCTCCGCCGACCGCTCCGCTAGGAATTCGAGGAAAAGCTGGGCGGAGTACGAGACGAGGAGTAAGGCTTCCGAGTTTATCTTGTTAATGTCCCTGTCCAGCTTCATTATCCTCTTGACCCGACCGTTCGGAAATTCGGGTCGGATCCGATTGGCGTTCCATTCTTCTGCTACTGCCTTCCCTTTTCCTTTTGCTGCCTTCTCTTTTTCCCGTGCTGGGTTCTCTTCTCCTTCTGGTACTGAGTTCTCTTGTTCTTCTTGTGCTGGGTTTTCTTCTTCTCCTGCTGGGTTCTCTTCCTCTTCTTCTGGTACTGGGTTCTCTTCTTCTTCTTCTGGTACTGGGTTCTCTTCTTCTTGTACTGAATTCTCTTCTTCTCCTCCTGCTGGGTTCTCTTCCTCTGGAGCTGCGATCTCTTCTTCTGCCATTGATGGCGGCGAAGCTCTGGTCCGGAATGAGTGGTGGAAAAGGGGAAAACGATGTTTAGGTTTTTGAATTGGCGGGAAATATTCAGTTGATAAGTTTCGGATGGACAATATTACGCTAGTTGTGTGCCGCGAGTCGTGACAGTTGATTTAGCTTTGCAACTTTAATCGATGGCTATTTGGGCAAAAACGTTTTGTACCCGCCATGCGAAATGTCGTTCCCGCCAAAAGAGAGATTTTTTTATTAGATGTGGTGGAACCCCACCTCTAAGCCCACGAATAAGCCCATTTCACCACCAAGAAGGCTCAAGAAACATCGGTTTGAGGTGGTGGGCTAAGGAAGAGGGCCCATATAAGAAGGAGGAGCTTGTGAACTGCCCTTAATCTCAAAAATGTATTCGGATTTCAAAATCACTTAAAGTGATTTTTGCAATAAACATTAATTATGTGCTTCTAGCAAGTACAACTTCAAGTGCTTCTTCATAAGAAGCTTGCATTTTACTAAGTGGTTTAAAAAAATTTCTCTAAAAACGCTAGGGGTGGAATTTTTTTTCCGAATTTCCCGAAAAATTTGGTACCCGAAACCGAACCCGCCCCGAAAGTTTCTGTTTGAGATTCGGCCACAACTTTGAAAGCGTTCGGTAATCTCGAACCGAACCGAATATTATATATATTTATGTATTTTTAATTTTGAATTATAAATTACTTGAACCGTTGGATTTGTTAAGAAGATCTAATCCAATCGTCCATTGAGTTAGGTCATTTGTTAGGTCTCTCAAACTCTCTCTCAATCGCTCTCGCTCACTCTCTCAGTCTCTCTCACAATCACTCACACTCTCACTTACAGTCCTGCCGCTCCGCTCCTTCTTCGAATCCACGCCGCTCCTCGTCCTCCATCGACTCACGCCGCTCCTCCTCCTCCATCAACTCACACAAACGTAGGAAGGAAGTCTCGAATTCGACACCAACCGAATCCCAAAATCCAGGTAAGGGTTTTTGATTTTCACTGGGGTTTTGTTCTTTAGTGTTTAGGGTCAAATTTCATGTTGATTAACTTGATTTCTGAGTATATTGTCGAATGTGTGAGTGAGGGTTTGAGGACTGTGGGTTTCGAATTAGGGTGGGTAAGTGCAGGATATGGTTCTATGTGTTATGTCAAAGTATCTTCTCTCCAAATGTTTTGCAATGGAAAATGTATAAGATATGGTTCTATGTTAATTGCAGGAGCATTCTCACCAATATTCAAACGACTTTAGGAAGATCTGAAACAGAAATTTTGTAAAAGGAAGTAGACCACAGTAGAGCTTTCATTGTCCAATTCCAGCAACATAGCAATATCGGATATACAGGTAACATGCATATCTGAAGTGGTTAGTTCTTAACTAAAAGATATTGAGCATCAAATATTTTTGTTTTTGCATGCCCTGCTTTTTCCCTCGTAATCTCCAGTCTATTTTTCTCATCCCCTTGTAGTTTTCCCATTGTTATGTATATCGCACTCATAATTGATTGCACTGATTTGAACACATATTGTGATGTTCTTCACTTCACTTTGTGTTGTATTGTATGCCATACTCCTAACATGAATAAATTAATGTATCGATTTTGAAGATCTTTATGCTATCTTTAGACTCCGTGGCATGCTCAAACTTACATTTGGAGAGAAAATACTTTAACATAGAATATTTTGATTATATTCTGAGATAAATATGTGTTTGACTTTGATATATATGTGTTTATGGATCATTTTATGGAATGTGAACTCTGTCAGTTTATGGATCAGTTTATGGTTGTGATATATATGTGTTTGATCAGTATATGAGATGAGATATATGAATATTATATATATGTTGAACTATGTTGTGATATATTATTGTGCATTGTCAGGATGGACGGGTCTGGTAGTGGTAGTGGTAGTGGTAGTGGTAGCTAATCACAATCTACTAGTACACCTAGGATCTTGGTTTTAGTAAAACGAAAGCCACAATACATTCGAACTGAATACTATGAAGATTATTGTGATGATGATCCAGATATGGATGCTGATATAGGGTTAGAAGAAATAGATGAAGAAATAAAGGAAAAAGAAGGTGAGGAGGATAATGTTGAATTGGACAAGCGGCAGATGCTTTCAGTGGCCACATTAGCAAGTAGGGTGGGTCAACGGAAAAAAAGTAATAGGACTAAGGGGCCAAGTCTAGCTTGGAATGATGCCACTAAGGTAAATGTGACCGATGAATTTGGAATTACAACGGTTATGGCAGAGTGCAGTCATTGCAAAATGCAAGTGTCGGCGAAGTCTTCTAGACATGGGACAAAATGTATTCTTAATCATTTGAAGAAATGCCCAGATTCTAGTTTTTATGAGGCACCGGATTCGAAACAACCATTGTTGTCACAAGATGTGATAAGGGGTTAAGTTGTTGCTCACACTTTCAATAAAAAAAGACTTAATATGAAATGTGTGAAGTGGATAATAAAAACGGAGATGCCTTTTAGGGCGGTTGATCAAGAGGACTTTAGAGATTGGATCCATGACTTGAATCCAAAGTACAAGCTTCCAAATAGGCACAAGGTGGCGGCGGTGGTTTTGGAATTGTATTTTACAAAGAAGGAAAAAATCAAAAGGGTGGTTGATGGTTTGAGGGTGAATATCACTACCGATACTTACACCTCAATCCAAAATATTAATTACATGGTGGTGATGGCACATTTTTTGGACAATGATTGGACTTTGTATAAGAGGATCCTAAATTTTGTTCAAATTACATCTCACAAGGGTGATGATATTGGGAGGTGTCTAAAGGTATGCTTGAATAATTGGGGCATAGACAAGGTATTTAACATTACCGTTGACATTGCTAGTGCCAATGACATCACTATTGCATACATAAAGAGAAGGCTTAAGTCCAATGGTACTCTTTTACTTGACGAGGCTCACTTACACATGAGGTGTGCTTGTCACATCCTCAATTTGATAGTTAAAGATGGAATGACAGAACTTAGTCGTGAGATTGAAGGGATAAGGAATTGTGTCAAATTCATACACTCATCCCCTGCAAGGTTGGAGACTTTTAGGGAGTATTGCGTCTTGATGAGATTTGATAAAATGTCGAATATTCCTTTTAATGTTGTCACAAGGTGGAATGCCACCTATGAAATGCTCAATAGTGCCTTCAAATTTAAGCAAGTGTTCTCAAGGATGGCGAATGAGTGCAACACTTTCATCTCTTACTTTTCAAGCGGAGGTATCTAAAGAGATTAATGGGGTCACAACCAAGGTGAAACGGGTGGGTCCTCCGGTGGTCGAAGATTAGGAGAGGGTGGTTAGTTTTGCTCACTTTCTTAAAAGGTTTTATGATGCCACCTTGACACTTAGTGCAACCCTAACTCCAACTTCAAACTTAATACTTGGCACGGTGATTGCATAGCAAGTGGAGGTAGAAGAAAAGATTTGCAATTCCTCTAATGTCACTTTGCAAAGTGTGGCAACTTCCATGAATCTTAAGTTTGACAAGTATTGGGGGGACAATGAAAAGGTTAACCATATACTCTTTATAGCCCAAGCACTCGACCTGATGTACAAGTTTGAAATGTTGGAGGCAAGCCTAGAGGAACTCCGCTATTTATGTGAGGCAATCTTGGATGTGAAGACAAGTATTAAAAAAAATTGACAAATTTGTTTAAGGCGTATAAGGAGGTAGAGGTGTCTAGTAGTAATAGTGTTACCGTGGATCAAAGGCCAATTGTTGTGGTAGATGATTCTTCGGGGTTGGAAGATGATGATGTTGCTACAAGAATGCAAAGGAAGATCCATAAAAAAAGAGCCGCGGCCCAACAAAACGAGATATCCAATGAAGTGGATATGTATTTCAATGATCTCACCAAAGCTTAACATATGAGGGTTTCAATATTTTGGATTGGTGGAAAGTCAATTGTGGAACATATCCAACTCTTAGTAAGGTTGCTAAAGATATTTTTACTCTTCCTAGTAGCACCGTTGCTAGTGAGAATGCTTTTAGTCTTGGTGGAAAAATTGTAGATCCTCACTTTGGTAAATTTACAGACTGAAATTGAAAATATTACTTTAAATTGCGATTATCAAAGTCTTTATAAGCACTATCCCGAGTTGATGCGTAAATTAATTGATAAGGAAAAGATAACTGCAAAGGAATATCTAAAGAGTCAAAATCTATCCGAAAAAGATTTTATTTTGATTAATGACTTAGGTCAATATACACTAGAAGCAATACTTCTGAATGTACTAGGGAAAGTATTCAACAGTTTAGATAATTTTTCGGTTGTTAAGGTTGCTACTCTGCTTGAACAGATCCAATCAGCTGTATTGATAGAAACTAGATATATACAAAGTTTATAAAAAAGATGTTAATAATACGATAAAAAGAAATTATGTTATTGGTAAACACTTGTTAGACTTATTGTGTATGAGAGGTTTGATCTCTTATGAAAATATGAAAATTGATGAAGCACCAAAGATAAAAGGTAATAATTATTATAAAACGGCATATTGTTATGCGTTGTTCAATTTCGACTTATCCTTACTCCCTCTTAAATTAAATATACCCATGATTTCTACGACGTTACCTTGGGAATCTAAGGTTGTTTCACCTTCAACGTTAGCTGATACGCAAGGGGGGTACTTATATTACTATGAATATTGCAAGATTTCTTTTCAGTTTTGATTTCTTTGTATACATTATTCCAAAATATTTCAAGAATATCCTCCTTATTATACGTAGAATACTTACAAATAAATCTAAATTTCCTCTTATCGAACTTAACTTTTTCATACTTTAATGTGGTAAACAATTTCATTGGAGATTGAAATATTTATAGCTTCCACCGGATGCTAGACCCTCCACTAGCAGAGCCGACTACCGGACATTCTCGACCTCGGTAATCTCTAGATGGGATTTGGTACCTAGATACACTGATGCTGTATTATTCAGATTCCACCATAATCTTGAATAACCTCCATAGGGCTTAACATTGACCCTAAATCACCAAACAGACCCCGTCTTAGGGATGTGCCTGAGATTGTTTACCAATAGCTTTCTTCGTGTGCACGCGAAGCTGAACACCGTCTTAAATCTCGATAAAAAGTACAAACAGGCTTTCAATTTTATTTTATATAATGCGTTGATCCCTG